TGAGTCTCCTCTCTGTGCTTCCCAAATGCCCCCACTGACCCACACAGGGGTCTCTGCCCTGCCCTTGGACCTCAAGAGCTCCATTCCTCACCTTGGAGGGCACCATGGTACCTGACCTTCTCCATCCCCCATAATGGGAAAAGCCACATCGTGGATCCCAGGCCCTGGAACCTGGGCCCACCGTCCTGTGCTTCTCCAGAGGTGGGCCCTGGGTCAAATCTCCAAGGGCTCCTGCTCTCCACCCTTTGCTCAGGGAACCAAGTCGCCTGGCCTCCTCCACCGATACCCTGCATTACAGCCTCTTCACACCAAAAGAAAGGAATAAGTGGCTGCTTCCTCCTAAAGCATTTTCTGGGTGAAGGCCCTGGTCACAACAGCCCTGGAAAGTGGGGAGTTTGTCCTCACTTTGGAGGTGGGGAGATGGGGAAACTGAGGCTCGGAGAGGGAAGGACCCGCCTCCCTCCCTCCCTGCACCTGCTGCAGGCCAAGCCTACCTGGCACCCAGTAGGGTTGTGAGCCCAGCTTCCCGAACAGCTGACCACGGAGGCATCTTGGTGAAACTGGGATGAAGCCGGCTCCTGACTGGACTGCCTGCTGCAGTGAGCAGGGGTATGGCTGGGTGGCGGAGTGCCCAGCTGATTCTAACTCCCGGTAATTAACCCCACTGCCGGAAGCCACTGTGGCCCCTACGGGCCTGGAGGAGCAAGAAGGGACTGGAGGACCCGCGCTGTCCCAGGGTTGCCAGCAGGGGGCAGGGCTGCCTCACGCCGTGGGCACCGCAGCGGGCGCCGGGGCATCTGTCCTTGTGGGTCCTTGGGTTTCTAATCAGCTCCTTCATAACCGAGGGGGTGGGATGGGGCCTGGTCCTGCCTTGGCCTCCCTTTGTGCAAACTCCTTCCTCTGGGGGCCTTTGTGAGCTGTGGGGACACAGCCCTGCAGGAGCTGTGGGTTCCCTCAGGGCATCTTTGCAGAGGGGACTCGCTGCAGAAATGCAGGTAGAAAACGCCAGACTCAATGGCCTGCCCGCCCCGATGCTGTCTGAGTCCCTGCCGGGGGGCAGCTGTGCCCATCTGAGAGTCCAGGGGACTGGGCTGCAGGCTCTATGTGGCCCTTCCACGCCCCAGTCCCTTCCTCCTGAGGCCCCTGAGACTTCCCTGACCTCTGCTCACCTGGGTGCAGCTGTCTTTGGGCACAGCGATGACCCTCCTCCGCCCTGAGTGTACCTGCCTGCACACAGCGCAGGGGCTGCCCCGTTCTTTCAGGATGTGCTCTCAGGATGCACTCCATTCCCCACGCCTGCCCTTCCTCCTATTATGCTGTCTGCTGGCTGATGGCAGAGACAGAAGCACAGGGAGCTCAGCAGCACCCATCCAGGAGCCATGTGTCCCTGCCCCCACCGCAGGTGCCTGAGCCCCTGCCCCTCCCTCGCCTCTCGGTTCACAAACCTCCAGCCCACGCTGGCTCGCTGTCGCTGCCTGGGCGTGCTGGCGAGGAACTTATCAAGCCCAGCATCTCTGGTCCAGAGGGACAGCCCTGGGCAAGAGTCGCCGTGGCAACCAGATGCCACAGGGAGGCCCAAAGCTGGGTTGTCCTGCGATGCCATGCCAGCCGGCAGCCTGGAGTTTCTGCCTAGCTGGTGGGAGCACGGGGAGGTGTTCACGTCCCTGGAGGAGCACCAAACTCCCCCCAGGCTCACCCCAGGAAGTCCCATAGTAACGCCCTGCCCCATTATTAAAAACAGCACCAAGGCCCTGGGAACCCGTGGGGAGCTTCCCCTTCCTGGGGTTCTCCCAGAGCCCTGAGGGCTCTGTGTCCTGCACCCACATACCTGAGCTTTCCCTTTTTGTCCCTGCGCCCTGGCCTGAGAACTCTGAGGGCTCGCTCACCCCAAGGACGGGTGTCCGTGGAGGCTGTGCCCAGAGTCCAGGAGACCACCAGGGGACAGAGCCAGGTTCCAACCGCTGGTGTCTCACACAGCAGCACTCAGCCATGTGCGCACATGTGCAGCAGGACGGGAGGCCCCTCAACAGGGAGGCCACAACCCAGCTCCAGAGGCCCCAGGGTCGACCCCTTTTCCAGACATGGAAGAGGCCCATATGCTTCATGCGTGTACGATTATATGCAGAGAACATGGGTGGGCCAGACCCAGGAGGCCAGGTCAGCAGAGCGCTGTGCCAATGAGGAGAAAGCAGGTGGGCACTTCGAGGACTCTGCCCTCCCTCAGGGTCCATTCACACTTGGGCCCCTCTGGAGAAGCCCAGGCTGGTCTTGGTGGGCAGAGCCGAGGCCCTGGCAGAGGAGGGTGTGCAGCCCGGGGAGCCTCCTCTGGATCCGCAGCTGGGACCCAGGGCAGCTCGTAAGATGGCAAAGTGAGTCCAGACTCCTGTGGCACCCACCATTCAGCCACAGTTGAGGGCCAGGGAGTGACCCAGAGTTTCAGGGCACAGCTGCCGTTCCCAGGAAGAGGGAGAATGGTGGGTCCTGACTCCACCAAGGGAGGCTGGCTCAGCCCCGCCCCCACGACCACCACTGCTCTGTCGAGCCTTCCAGTACTGAGTGCAAGTGTGTATGTTCCTGAGTGTCAGTATGTGTGCACAGGAGCGTGTATGGGTGTGTGTGCCTGGGGGTGTGTATGGGTGCGTGCATGAGCGGCTATGGGTGTGTGTGCATGGGATTATTGGTGTACATATGAAAGCATGTATGTGTGCATGAGAGCGTGCATGGGTGTGTACATGCGTGTGTGTGCATGGGATTATTGGTGTACATATGAAAGCATGTATGTGTGCATGAGAGCGTGCATGGGTGTGTACATGCGTGTGTGTGCATGGGAATATGGGTGTGTGTGGGGTGTATAGGTGTGTGTGCATGGGAGTGTGTATGGGTGTGTATGAGCGTGTATGGGTGTGTGTGCATGGGAGTGTGTGCATGGCAGTGTGTATGGGAATGTGTATGGGAGTGTGGGTGTGTGGGTGTATGGGAATGTGTATGGGAGTGTGGGTGTGTGTGTATGGGAGTGTGGGTGTGTACATGAGCATGTGTGGGTGTGTGCTTGGGAGTGTGGATGCATGGGAGCGTGTACGGGTGCGTGCATATGAAAGTGTGTATGGGTGGTTGCACGGGCATGCATGCGTGTGTGTACATGGCAGCAGTTGTGCATGGGTGTGCATGCCAAAGCATGTGTGTGAGCATGTGATGTGTGCATGCATACGAATGGGTGCAAGGGTGCATGTGAGCGTGTCTGTGCGGGTGTTTGAGTATGCAAGTGTGTGAATGTGTGTGTGCTCACGAGGGGAGTGCCATCAGGAAGCCCCTGCCCAGGCCGGGCGCGGTGGCTCAAGCCTGTAATCCCAGCACTTTGGGAGGCCGAGACGGGCGGATCACGAGGTCAGGAGATCGAGACCATCCTGGCTAACACGGTGAAACCCCGTCTCTACTAAAAAATACAAAAAAGTAGCTGGGTGCGGTGGCGGGCGCCTGTAGTCCCAGCTACTCAGGAGGCTGAGGCAGGAGAATGGCGTGAACTCGGGAGGCGGAGCTTGCAGTGAGCCGAGATCCGGCCATTGCACTCCAGCCTGGGCGGCAGAGCGAGACTCCGTCTCAAAAAAAAAAAAAAAAAAAAAAAAAAAAAAAAAGGAAGCCCCTGCCCTTCAGGTGGCAGGCCCTTCCATTTTAATTCTCACCCAGGAGCCACCCTTGCTTTGGGCACAGGCCACACGGCCCTCTGCCCACCATCACAGGGCAGGACCTGGACCCTCAGAGCCCCACTCCCCATCTTCACTGTGTCTGGTGCTTCTCGTGGAGGGTGCCTGGCTGGACACAGGTGCATGAGAGGGCTCCGGGCACCACCATGAAACCTCAGGCCGGGAGCAGTCCAGCCCCAGATAGCATGGAGACGGAGGGCATTTATCACAGGAGACAGTGCAGATGGGGCATCATTAACTTGTTATTATGGGGCAGTTGGGTGACATCGTGTGTTCCCTGGCCCTCTGGGTTCACCTCCTGCCCACCCAGGCCAGCATGGCTGCAGAGGTGTGGATGCTTAGGCAGCCCGGTGAGGGACAGGTGGGAACACTCGCGCTCTGCAGGTACCCACAGGCCCGGTGCCCGTGGCTGCTGAAAGATACCCTCGTGGAGGCCCCAGCCCCCTGCCCCTTGGAGAAGCAGCAGAGGCCAGTGGACAGGGAGAGAACTCCCGAGTGTGGCCCGCAGAGGACGCCGGCCTTGCCACACAGGACCAACGGGTGGGGTGGGGAGGAGGGCGGGCTGGTAGGGACTGATTACGGGCCCTCCCGCCCCAAACAAAAAAAATCCCCACACAGAACAAACGAACTGAATGGCGATGTATTTTAAACGCTCATATTTTGTTTCTCCTCTCACGTTTCTCCCTTTGCGTGCTTCTTTTCCACCATTCTAATGTCACTGTCCATCAAACCCTGGCACCTGCGGCCGCGATGTTTCAGAGACAATCGTACGGGGAAGCGTTTCACAGTCACAGTCGCAGGAAGGCCGGCAACAGGACGCAACAGAGTGAGGCTTTAAAAATTACTCGAAAGGGGAAGAAAACCCTTGAAAGCCTCAGGCCCACCCTCCTGCCCCCAAGGAAGACACCCCTGCTGCGGCGGTTTCCCCCCAAGCCTCGCCGCCGTCACAGGAGCCCTCTCCTCTGCCATCGTCCGTCCTGGCGTTTCTCGCACGAAGCTTTCACCTCAATCTCTAGAAGCAGAAACAAAACAGTCCCAGCCCTCCCCCCCGCCATATCCAAGTATACATGAGGGATAAAATTACATTTGTACAAAAATAGATTTTTTTTTTTTTTTTACCTTTCCAGATGCTTTAGACATTTTCTCTTATCTTTACTCTCTTTATGGATCTGTCATCCTCTCTAAAGTATTAGCTATGCGTCCCAGCTAAGGCATTGCTAAGGATTGGGAACGGCTAAAGCTGTCTGCTCCAAAGCATCTTAAAATAGATGCATCTCCTGCCTTGAGATATTCATTCGAACCCGGATTTCACCAAAGGAGGGTCCTTATATATTTGCTTACACGAAGCAAATTTATAGGAAAACAGGGGAAATGTCTTGATTAAAAATAAACACAAAACACTGGTAACCGCTCCGCCTCTCCTGCGTGGCACTCGCGTGCGGCTCTCTCCACACGCATCTCTCTGTACAGCACATACATGTTTACACCGCACACCCGCGTGGACGGGCACCAGGTCACGCACCCCAACTCCACGACAGGGACACCAGCCGACTACCCACAGGCTGCACATTCTGGCAGGGCCCTCCTGCGTGCCCCAGGGGGAGGGGCTCGGGGTCATCTCCAGCACTGCCACCAGGCCGCCAGCCCAGAATTCTTGGGGAACACCGTGCTTGGAAAACCGAAGGTCAGGGCTGTCTTTCCCAGAGGTCGTATGCTTCCAGAGTATGGAGGGCCAGTGGCTGACACAGGAGCCAGGGTGGAAGGTCCCGGCAGGCCAGCTTCCAAGCGTGCCCGACGCAGCCTAGGGGACCCCAGCTCTGTGGCATCTTCACTCCTCAGCCTAGGAGCGCCATCTGAATGGCAAAGCCGGAAGGTGACCAGCTGAGGCGCCCGCCTGAAGGTGCCGGAGTGCCCCGGGGGCCCAGGAAGCAGCCGCTGGGAAGGGGGGGCCCTGCTGGGAAGCCGCTTCATCCAGCCGGGCCAAGGCGGGGACAGGCACAGGTGGCTAATGAGCTGATGTTAGTGCTATCTTTAGAAAATTAAAGATTGTCCCACCAAAATAAGAATTACAAAAAAATCACCTTAATTGAACCGGATTGGTAATACCACTACAGGTCTGGTTAAACAGAAACTCTACCTCTCTACTCAGTGATGCGCCACACTCCTCACGCGTCACCTTTTCAAACCAACAGCACTGTTTGTACAACCGCAAGGCCGATGAGAAAGGGGCAGGAAGAGCCCAGGACACGTGGAGCGGTGGGCAAGGCTGCCGGGGCCAGGGAGGCCCGGTTCTGCTTTCAGGGGTTGGCGGCCCGGGGGGGCTTCAGTGCTTTACATCCAGCCAGCCAGCCAGCGCCGGAAACGACCAAGTTCCCAAGAAGCCGACCCCCTACCATCGAGGCCCGTCCCTGGGCTTCTTCCTCTGGAGCCGCGGGCATTCCCAAGGGTCCGGGCACGGATGGGTGGGCGCTGGCTGCAGAAGGCACCAGGCGTTGGCGTTAGGTCTTTCACGCTCCCACCGCCGGGGCCCCGGGAATGCCTGCGTCCTCCTGCCGTTTCCATCACACCCCCCAGGGGCAGCTGGGGCTTCCTGGCAGTGCCTGGGAGGGGCCCAGCTGGCCAGGGACCTGGCACAGGTGTGAGGCTGAACACTCTGCCTCAGGATGGTGGACTGGGCAGGGGGCCACCTCTGGGGATCCACGACGCTGAGAGGCAGGGGTGGAGGGGGGCAGGAAGGAGGCAGGGGTGGAGGGGGACAGGAAGGAGAGGCTTGTGGAATCTCTGACAGCCTCTGTCTCGGGCACAGACTCAGCTGCAGGCTCCACCCAGGTGCCTCAGCTCAGCTCTGGCTGGGAGAGCCAGGAAGGAAAAGAATGGACACTTTCTTCCCCACCGAGACTGGAGAACTGTCTCTCCAAGCCACTGCCTCCCAGTCCAAGCTCCTAGGCAGCTCCCTTCCCCAGTGAGGAAGCCCCCGCTCCAGGTGGGGTAAGACTCTGGAGAAGGCACCCACTCCCCCGCATCATTCCTAGACTGCTCCCGGGAAGACAAGACCCCCCTCCCGTATCCCCCCATCCATCCCCTGTTCAGGCACCTGCGACTGACAAACGCTGGGTCCACGGGACTGAGGCGCGACTAGGAAAAGTACTCAGGCCAAAGGGAGGGCCTTCCAGTGCAAAAGAGGCGAGTTCAACCTGAGAGGGTTCCCACACCACCGCAGCCCGGGGGCAGAGCCTGTGGGAGGAGCGCCGGGCCGCACGGGGCTGAGCCCCCACCACCTTCAACCAGAGCAGACATTCAGTGACGCTCCCAAGTAAGGCTCTGGGTGAACAACGCTGTCCGTGGACACCACCAGGCTGGGGGGTCCCACCAGGGCCTGCGTGTGGCCCAGGCCCGAGGGCGCTGCAACTCAGGGTTCTCAGATTCCAAGTCTTTTAGACACAACTGGCAGCCAGAGAGATGGCCTGAGCGGGGGTCCCACCAATGCCCCTGCAGAGCCACTCCAGGCCGCGGAGCATCTGCCCCACCCACGAGGCTCCCAGTTCCTGAGCCCCTCTTTCTCCAGGCCACCTGCCCCCTCTGAGGGAAACCGACAGGCCACCCTCCTCCCCTCCCATCCCCGCGAGCCTCACAGATGGCTGCAGGTCAGCAGAGCCCTGTGTCTCCAGCAAGGCCAGTGAGGTGGTGACACCCCACCCGCCTGAGCCGGGGCCAGCCCTGCAGGAACCAAGGACAAGCCTCGGCCCAGCCCTCAGAGCAAGAAGACTCAGGCTGGGGAGGGGCCAGGGCACTCCGGTCTGAACAGGGAGCAGGGAGTCTGAAACCAGGACACCAAGGCAGAGAGAAAACCGAGGGGTGGTGAGTGACCCCTGTCCCTGCAGCCTGGAGGTGGCCCCAAAACCCTGCACAGACGGTGGCTCATGTTCTCATTGGCTCAAGGGCAAACCTGTGAGTTATCTTTGGAAAAAGGGGCTGCTTCCCCCTCACTCAGAGCACAGGGCAGCCTGCTGGCCCCACGAGTCCCCTCTCCTCCCCGAGGCGGCTGAGGTCTTTGCTGACGACACACCGGCCTGCGCCCCCAGCTGTCCGCTCCTCCTGATGAGGGGGAAGCTGTCACAGGCTGGCCAGGCACCAGTATTCAGAGCAGGTGAAGATGTCACTCCAGACAGGAGGGCCACACGGACATTCTGAAAACCAGCATCGATAAACAGCAACGGAAACAAAAACCGCATTCCCAATGCCTGCAGCTCCAGGGCTGGGGCCCGAAGACCCTGCGAGTCGCCCACGCCCCGTGGGGTGTGGCAGGGCGTCCCGAGAGCCCGGTGGGGAGGCGCCTGGCTGGGCTCACCACGCCAGTTCTTGCCACGCAGGCTGCTGCCTCAGGAAAGCCACTGCCCTGGGCCACAGACAAGTAGTAACAGAAATAAGGAGGGTGACAACACATCTCTTAGGCAGAGCAGTGACAGGCTGTGCCCCAAAGTCCAAACAGGTCAGGCAGAGAAGGGCAGGGACAGGACTCAGGCTGAGAAGAGCAGCTGGCGTCCAGGCAGGGTGGCCAGACCGGGTGGGCGCAAAGGATGGGCCCGCAGGCCTAAGTCATTTGGTGCGGCGCCTCCAGCATCTCCATGAGGAAGGTGTCAATGGGCGTGTCCCCAATGAGCTTGAAGAAGAAGAGATGTTCCAGGCACTTGAGCCCGATGGAGCGCAGAGCCGGCAGGCGGAGCAACAGCTTGGCGAACCTGCAGGGAACGGGTCTGGTGACGGCCAGGCAACGGGCAGGGGCAGTTCTGCCCTGGCACCTGGAGGCCTCCCTGGGGATGGGGCTGTGTCTGAGAGCCCAACCCAACCGAGGCTGGTCTGTAGCCCCGGATCTGCCTGTGCCAAGCCTCCAGAGGGAAGGAGGGGAGGCTAGAAGGAAACAGGGGCAGTGGCATCCCAGAGCCCGGAGAGTGTGAAGGGGGATCCCTGGGGCCGAGGACGGAGATGAAGGGCCGGGGGCCAGACAGCGGCTGGCTAGGGCAGGCTGAATAGTTCTTTTTAAGAAGTGAAGAATTGTGGGCAGCTGGGCATGATGGCTCACACTTGTAATCTCAGCACTTTGAGAGGCCGAGGTGGGAGGATGGCTGGAGGCCAGGAGTTCGAGACCAGCCTGGGCAACGCAGTGAGACCCTGTCTCTACAAAAGAACAAGAGAAAAACAGTAGCCAGGCGTGGTGGTGCACAATGCCTGTACGGAGGACCACTTGAGCCCAGGCTGAGGCTGCGGTGAGCTACGATCATACCACTGCACTCCAGCCTGGGCAACACAGCGAGACGCTGTCTCTTAAAACATGGAAAAATGTGGGCCATGACAGCCAGGAGCGGGTGTGAGGTCAGCAAGGCATCTGGCTGCAGCAGCCATCGCAGCAAGAGACTGTGGGGCCTGTCAGGGAAAGGGCTGCTGAGCACACTGGTGAGTCGCAGGGAACAGGCAGGGCACATGGTGGGTAACCAAGAAGTCAAAGGGCATCAGGTGGGGGAGGAGGAGTCAGGCTGCACCCCCACTGCAGGTGGAGCCGGGCCTGACTTGGGAGCTGTGTACCGGGGCAAGCCCCTTTCCATACAGCGTCAGCACCCCATGAGTGCCTCCCACGGCACCTCGTGCAGGGCTGTGGGCCTCAGACCAGGGCCACCCCTTCCCCGGAAATAGCTCTGCTGGTGTTGGGCACAGCCTGGTCAGAGAAGGCTGGCGGGGGAGGGAGGGAGCATGGGTTGCTCCTCAGGGCCTGGCCCACCCCGGGGAGTTTCCTGGGGCAGGGACCAGTGGGCTGGCGGAGAGGGAGCGGGGGGAAGTCTGGGGCTCTGGGAAGAGGGATGGCAGGGCCAGGCATGAGGGCAGCAGCTGCCGCTGAGGACAGGGGGGACCAGGTGTCCCTTCTGGCTGGCCGTGTCTGCCCCAAGGCCCCTGTGCACGGCCTGAGTCTCTCCACACGGCCCCTCCAGGGGCTGCGGGACCTCATTAATTATTAACGACGTCTCTCTTTCAGGGAAAAGCTCTGTGGTTGGCTGCCTCGCAGTCCTTGTTTTAAAGGCAAAAACAGCGCAGAGGCTGGAGTCCGGCCAGAGAACAAGCTGTTTTCTGCTGAGCTGGCGAGATGGGCCAGGGCAGAAAGCCAGGAAAAATAAGCTGCCTGCCACCCCCTCCTGTCCTCGTCCTCCGGGAAGTTTCACTTTAAACCAAGCCAGATGAGGGCTGGGCAGGCAGCGGGGACACGGTTAACTGTGTATGTGCTGGTGGCGGGAGGGCCTGGGTGTCCTAGGAGGTCTGCTGGGCCCCACCTCCCCCAACCCCCCACCCACAGTCTGAGGATCAAGAGGCCAGGAGATGCCCCTTTTGAGAGAAGAGGCAGACTCTGGAGAGCTGACTTTGAAACCGAGGGATCCACAAATCTTTCTCTTCCTGGACACCTACTGTGCACCCAACACTGCGGACTCAGAAACGAGAGAATCCCAGCCCTTCTAGGGCCCACAGCCGGGCAGGGGAGAAAGATGAGCTCTGCGCTTGGGCCGTGGCTGCCTATTCTGTACACACTTGGAGAGAGTGTTTAGAATGTGTAGGCATCTGGCCGTCCACTCTACACATGCTTGTGAAGTACCTACTACGTGCTGGTGTCGCTGGACCTCTGGTGGGTCTGCCTGGCAGGGGAGCGCAGTGGGGGGTGAAGCACAGCCTTCATCTACCTACTTGACAAAGACAAGCACCTACTATGTGCCAGGTGTGAGGTAATCCTTCCGGTGGGGATATAGCGTGAGCCTGTGGGGTGTGCCTGCCACAGCCCACTGGCCTGGAGGACCTCCCGCTGCCTGCTCAGGACCTGCTGGCACGGGCTGGGCCTGGGGAAGGTGCCATCTTCTCATTCACATAAAACAGCCTTGCAGCAAGGTGGGGGCTCTGGAGACAAGAAGGCAGGTCTGGGGTGTGTGTGGGACAGGGCGGGACCCACCTTCCCGGCTGCTCTGGGTACTTGTGCTTGCAGTAGGCCTCCAGGGACGCGTAGACCTTCTCCCTCAGCGCCTCCACCTCGGCCGGGTTCGAGAGCCCCTTGGAGTCTGAAAGGAGAAGAGGCCACAGGTCAGAACCCTCAGCTGGGTGTGTTCCAGGCGCCCGCCCCCAGGACCCAGGCTTGTGTGGGGTCTCCCAAGCTGCCCCACCACGGGCAGAGTAGGTGGTGTGAGGGACGCCGCTGGACACGCCCCCGCCTGCTTCCCCAGAGCCTGGTGGCAAGGGGATGACCGTGGAATCCATGGCCAGGCCAGGCTGCTCTGGGTCCAAGCTTGGCTCTGCCACTTGCCAGCCATGTGACCTTGGGTCAATTATTTGACCTCCAGAGCCTCTGTTTCCCCATCGATAAAGTGTCAGGAATCTGCTGCTTTCCAGCCGCCATGGGAACTGGGAGAGACAACGGAGGCCTCTGCTGCCCTTGGGTCCCAGCCCCATGACACGGACGGGAGCTATCACTGCTGCCCCCAGGAGCACCCAGACCCTGAGGGAACCCATCCTCGGCATGCTCGCGGAGTGCTGAGCTCAGGACCCAGACTCGAGAGCCTAGAGTGGACAGAGGCTGAGACTGCAGCCACCAACACCTCCAAGGCCAAGGGACCCCATGTGAATGCCACCTTGGCCCATGTCCTGGGGCTCCCTGGCAACATGTCTGGCTCCCTGAGCTGCCTCAGCTCTAGCCCGTCTCCTCACCCTCCCTGCAAGCCTGTGCCTTGGTCTCCTCGCCTTCCCTGCAAGCCTGTGCCTAGACCCTGCTCGTGCCAGACAATCTCACCCTCCCTGCAGGCCCGTGCCCAGGTCCCGCTGGTGCCCCAGCTCTAGCAACCAGACCACACAGGACCTGAATGGGGATTCCTCGGGCCGGGCCAAGCCGTGGCGTGACTCAGCCTCCGAGCCGGCAGGATTATGGCCTGGATGCACAGCCTGGGTGATAAAATGTCCCTGGAAACAAGCTTTCCCCACAAGAAGATGCCCATCTCCATCCCGGCCCAGTCCCTCAGAGCCAGGTCTGACAAAGGGCAAGGTCAGGGCCAGGAGCCGAGAGGGCTCCATTCCCTCCACCACGGCCCAGGTGAGCTCCCCACGGCAGCCCCAAACCTCTCCCTCCACACCCCAGCCGCCCACCCCTATCGCAATGAGCTGAGTTTCCAAACACAGAAACCCACAGCTCCCTCCCAGCTGGAACCCCTCGGGACTTGGCTCCCTGTGGCCCCAAGAGAAAACCCAGACTTAGCAAGACCTTCAAGACCCTGCCTGGGCTGCCCCCACCAGTCCACCCCACCTCTGTGCCTCCCGTTCCCCTGGCCCCCATCTAACTTTCAGCTCCCAGAGGAAGTGGCCCGCACCCTCGACCCACCGCGCTCCTGTCCTCATGTGCCAGGGGCACCTGCTGGTGGGCGTGACCCTCTAAACCCCAAGCTCTGGGCAGGCAAGCCCTACCCAGCAGTGTGAAGAGCCCTCCCATGCCCGGCAGGGTGCCGAGCAAACAGGCACGTGTCAGCACTTGTTGGGCAAAGGGGTAGCATCTAGGAGGCTTTTCAAACCGAGAACCCAGAGGCTGGAGAAGGGCCGCACTGTGGGCCAGAGGCTTGTGCCCAGCTCCAGCCCCACAGCCCCAAGCCCTGCTCTCCTCAACCACAGGGCCCCAGCCCCAGAAACACCCTGGACCCGAGGCTCGGGGATGAGGCTGGTCCCCTCTGAACACCCAGCAGGCCCGACCCATCCCCACCCCATCCCCAGCCTGTAGGGCTCGGGGCTCCCAAACTTCAGCACTGGAAGTTCACAACCACAGCCGGCCACTTCCGGAGTCTGGATTCAGATGCACAACGGTGAACGCTGCGAACCGCGGAGCCCAGACAGCACCACCAAGACCCTCATGACAGGTGCCTTGCTGGGTCCCCCTGTGCCCAGGGGCCACGCTCCCTTGGCAGGCCCTCAAGGTGAGCAGAAGGCAGCACGGCCACACTTCCACTGGGAGGGGAGCACGCTGAGCTCAAGGAGAGCGGAAGTTGGCCTCATGTGCGGCCACAGCCAAGAGGTGCAGCCGGAAAGAGGCCCAGGTGCCTCTGCCCCACCAGAGAACGGGGCCAGGAGCCTCGAGGCAGGAAGGCCATACCGGGGTTGAAGAGGACGATGGCCCGCAGGCAGCCCAGCTCCGTCTTGTCCATCTGCATGTCCCGCATCTTGGACACGAGCTCTGTCAGCACCCTGCAGAGGAGGAGGGCAGACACCCCATCCCAGTTAGGCCGAGGTCCTCACCAAGGCCGTACCCCAGATACCCAAGGTCTCTGGGAAGCCCGGCGTGGCCGGAAGGCAGCTGAGATGGGCCAAGCCAAGGCAAGGACCACCAGACAGCCCGAGAGGGAGTGGGCTGGAACCTGGGCCCAGGTGCCACCCCTGCCCGGAGGGTGGGCTCCTCTCCTCTCCCTCTAGGTCTGCCTGTGGGGCTTTATTCTGGGAACCTAGAGGCTAAGGAGGCACCTCGTGACAGCTAAGCTGAGGTGAGCCGGAGCTGCACGTGGGGTACAGAGTCCACCCCTCCTGAGCCCAGTAAGACCCACCACTGTCCCTCCGCAGCTGCGGACCTAGCACCACCTGAGGCAAAGCCCCCGCCCGTGCCCCAGCCCCAGCCGCTCCCTTCAGTCCAGGAAGAGACCTCTCCCCAGGGCCTGATCTCCCTGGGTGGGGGCTGCCAAAGGGAGGCATGTCCATGTCTTATCACCAGAAAAAAAAAAAAAAAACACACCAGCCTCGACACAGGGAAAACCCACCAGTTCCCTCCATGGAGAGGCTGGGGGCGTTGTCGGATTCAGACTCAGCCGCCCCACTCCTGCAGCTGGATTCTGAATCCCATCGGCCTCTGCAGTGTCCTGGGCCCCCCAGCCTCAGCAGCCTGCCCACCAACCCCAAAGCTCGACTGCTGTGTCCCGGAACTGAGGGTGGGCCAGAGCGGGGGAAAGGGAGGTGACCGGGTGGGGCCCGGATGGTTGCCTAAGGAGCCTGGGCTCTCCCCTGTAGGCCAAGGGGGGCCCTGAAGGTCTGCAGAATGGGGAGTGCCCTGGCTGATTCCTGGGAGAAGATCTGAAGGAGCCCGGAGGACAGGGTGGGACAGAACAGGAGCTGGGAGGGACCCCCGATGTCTGCTCTGAGGCAGAGGCACACAGCTGCAGAGGGGCAGGGCAGCGGGCATGGAAACGGCCTGGGCCACTGAGGGCAAAGACTTTGCATTCCACTTGCACAGAAGGCGAGGAAACGCTGGGGCCTCTGTAGTCACTGCTCTGGGACCCCAGAGAATGTAACCCCAGAGATAGCAACAAGGAAGCTACCGTCCACCTCTGTCATCGCCATCTCTCTACCAGCCAGCCAAAGGAACTGTCAGCTGGGCCAGTGGCTGGGGCCTCGCTTCCCAAAGCCGTATCCCCAGTACCCCCCTAAAGAAGCTGCTGTGGGCAATAAACACGGCACCCTGCAGCCCCCGTGGGGACCCTCCTGTACACTAACTTCTTTTTTTTTTTTTTTTTTTTGAGACGGAGTCTCGCTCTGTCGCCCAGGCTGGAGTGCAGTGGCCGGATCTCAGCTCACTGCAAGCTCCGCCTCCCGGGTTCACGCCATTCTCCTGCCTCAGCCTCCTAAGTAGCTGGGACTACAGGCGCCTGCCACCTCACCCGGCTAGTTTTTTTTGTTTTTTTTTTTAGTAGAGACGGTGTTTCACCGTGTTAACCAGGATGGTCTTGATCTCCTGACCTCGTGATACACCCGTCTCGGCCTCCCAAAGTGCTGGGATTACAGGCTTGAGCCACCGCGCCCGGCCACACTAACTTCTTAAAGGCCCTGACAAGTCCTGCAGCGAAGACCCTCGAGGACACTGTTTAAACCTGCGTTTGCCCACCATCTGTGGCCACAAACCCTTTTGCACTTGGCACATCCCATGGAGGTCAAGTTTCAGGACCACCCTCGGGACGCGGGGACCTGAAACACCCCCTGGGGCATTGCTGCTGGGGCATCCGTCCCCCTGTAACTGCCAGTGCATGACCTCTACTCACCTCTAACGTGAAGGCTTCCATGTTCAGGGGCCACCTTCTCCAGGTGGCCTGCTCCTCCCCACCCACGGCTCCTTGTGCTGCAGATCCCTGACCAAGGACCCTGCAGCGCCCCTCCCCAGCCCTCCTGCTCCAGCTGAAGCTGACATCCGGTCCCCAGAAGGCCCAGTGGGCTCTCTGGACTCGTGGAGAAACACTGCAGCGATAGCGACAAGGAAGCTACTGTCCACCTCGCCTGGCAGAGCCGAGCTGGCCGGCGCTCTGGGAGGGCAACGTGAATGGACACGGACCACCCAGGCCCGGATGACGGCGGGCTCTGCAGCCAGTGCTGCTCCTGCAGTGTGTGCCCTGAGAAGTGGCTGAGGTGCAGCCCATGCTCCGCTGGGAGGCGTGAAGCACTGTGGTCCGACACCCCTGCCTGCACGGGGACAGGCGTTAGGCCGCACCACGCCCCGGGCTGCCACGGCATTCCCGTGCCAGCCTCACACAGCCTGCAATGTGCCAACCGGAATTGACACTTTTACAAAACTGCATCTACGGTATCATCGCTTTAAAGAGAAATGAAGCTTTCCTTCCCACGGATAAATACATGGGATCGTGAAAAAAGAAGAGCTGGAGAGAGATAGGCCAAGTGCTCCCTGTGGTTACAGATGCCCCAGAGGCAGGGCTGGCATGGGGCTCTGAGCCTCCTCCTTGTGCTTTTCTCTGTTTTCCACGTGCGCACCCTTCATGCACTGAAACAATACTAGGTAGGACGTGCACGGGGGCCGAGGCGACTGAACTCAGCTCACCTGGCGGTGGAGGTGAGCAAAGCGCCCTCGCCCCTCCTGGGAGCCCCCTGACCTGTCAAAGATGGCGCCCACCCCTGCGCTGTGGGCGCTGTTCCGGTGGACGTGCAGTCCGGTGGCCAGGAGGATCCCGTCCTTCACGGCGATGGAGCGGTGGGAGAAGGAGGCGATGAGCAGTTCATTCCAGCCTGGGGAGGAAGCACATGGTCACTTGGCTGCCTCCAGGCCCCACGGGGCTCGCCGCTTCCCCAGCCCCTGGTGGGAGCCCACAGAGCCAGCATGTCACAGACCCATCCTGACAGGCTCTGGAACCCCAATCCCATGAAATATTCCACAGAAAAGAGGTTCCTGAGAATGCCTCTTCTACAGTACACACCGGCACACAACAGGCCCTGAGAAGCCCCGCACAAAGTCCCTTGAGCTCTGTGGAACCCAAGAGCTCACAAACTCATGTGCCCACGGAAGCTTCCTCCTGTGCGTGTAGGACGCTCCTGCCACAGAGCACGCGGGAGAGCACCCAGCGATGTTCCCAGGGTGGTCCCAGAACCACTGCCACCAGCAGGGTCCCAGGAGCAAACTCTCGGGGATCCGTGTGCGCTTCGTGGAATGCCACCAAACAGCAGGTTATCCAACGGAAGGCAGGTGCATGAGAGCCGCGGCGTCTTTTGGGAGGTTTCCCAGCGGGGGGAAGGTTAGAAAACAGCAGTCCCTCAACATCAGGGGGTTCCCTGGGGGGGGGGCAGTTAGGTAACAGTAGCCCCTCAACATAGTGGGGGTTCCCTGGGAGTGGGCAGTTAGGTAACAGCAGTCCCTCAACATCGGGGGTTCCCTGGGGGGCAGGCAGTTAGGAACAGCAGTCCCTCAACATGAGGTTCCAGTGCAGACAAAGCAGAGCAGGCATCGGGGAGGAAGAAAGCCTCAAACAGGGACCCTCGTGTGCACACGCATTACTGTTTTAACGGCTCCTGGAGACCAGGTGACATGGAATCACC